ACCCACCCCCATAGTTCTCCTTTAAAAGTGTCTATAGTAAAAATGTGGAAGAATTTCTCACCTTGCTAATCTCGAACCCAAACACCTCCTCAAAGTACGCCGGCTGGCTGATGAGCAGCAGGTAGAACGTCCAACTCCTACAGAAATTTGCAACTATGATTGCATAGACAGGCATCGAGGTGAAGAACTTTCTCCAAGGAGTCTTGAATTTCTGGAGGGGAAAACATCGGTTGCTGATTATAGGAAACATCACCGAGGAGTGATTGGGGTTGTGGGGACACTGTGATTTGATTGCCACGCAAGCTCTCCGACCTTCTCCTCGTTGACTCACCTCAAGTCCGCCCATGAGGTTGGCGCTCTCGCCAATGCTTTCTTCAATGTATGTGCGTTCTTCTTCCGAGATGGTGGGGTGCGTTGCCGGGCTCTCGTAGGAAACCAGAATCCAGAAGAAGTACCAGACTATTCCGAAACTCCCTGCGCGGACACAAGTCATTATTATTATTATTACACCCCCTTCCTCTGGCTGAGCTGAGTCATCTCATCATAGCGATGAATGGGGATTTCTGCCACCGTGTCTAATAAGCGCGGGGAGGATAATCTACTCCCAGAAGACCGCTAGCTCTCTCTCGTGCTCATGTCATGGTAGGAGTGACCAGCTTTATATCTAAAGTCACCTGATGCAATTTCACAGAGGGGCAGACACACTGACCTTTTCCATCAAGACAAGGACATTGCATACTAACACCCACCATATACCGTGTTTCCCCGTAATAAGACACTGTCTTATATTTGTTTTAGCTCAATAAAACACACTAGGTCTTATTTTCGGGGTAGGTCTTATTTTTTTTAAATGTATAACAATCCAAAGTTAATGCAAATCCAAATTAAATAATCCAAAATGGCAAAGTTAAGAATAGGGTGATCAGGGCAATCAGGGGTGCCATACCTTTCAAAGAGCAATTTGGTAACCAGAATGAGCGAAGCGTGCTTTCACTATGGATTCCTCACAGGCGGAGAGCATTTGGTATCACTCCGCCTGTGACAGGAGCCGGCGCTATAGAGGAAACATCGGCTAATGCAGCTCTGCTCCCTCCGGTGCCGCCTCGCTTCATCTAGCACTGGCTTCGTTGGCACCGCTGCTTCTCCCCCGCGGCTCCCCCTTATGCCACCTGGGAATGGTCACAACTGGGTCTTATATTTTAGCAATTCCCAAAAATGGTACTAGGTCTTAATTTCGGGGTAGGTCTTATTTTCGGGGAAACAGGTTATCTCCCTTAGGTTCCCTCTAAGGACATATGGAGGTTCAGCCTACGAAACATGTTCCGAGATTTTAATAACACGGTACAAGCCGTCTCATCAAATGTGTTTTAATTGGTTTTACGGAAGATGCTCCGACGCTTTCATTCCGGGAATAACACTAATGAGACCACCTTGACCCGAAGTGGAAGGGCCGTGTTATTTTCTGAGGGACATGTTCGGAGTCATTATCCTCCTTGCCACCGGCTGGCATCTCGCATGGGCCGGCACGTGACAGGTGAAATAATGCAAATATTATAAAAGTAATGGAACAAAAAGAAAGATGTTTACTTAAAATGCAGAGAGTCGATTTTGCAGGAGACCAAAAAAATTTGTCACAGAGGCTCAAGCTGGGCTGAGAAATGAAAGTTTGCTTTGTGCCTCTTTTAGGGTATCTATGCCATGTTATGTTTCCCTGTGGAGACGGGGCAAACAAAGTTCGCTTTTCTGGGGCTTTGTTATTGTATCTGTGCCAGGAGGAGTATCCCTCCTTAAAGCCGACTGTCCAGCTTCTACTGGCTGGCCTTCTGACGCAACAAACAATATACAATTGTGCCTTCCTCTGGATCCTCCAAAAACCACTTGAGTACCTCTCTTGTGACCAGGGACAAATTTACTCTTTCTGCTGCCCCAAGGCCAGGTTCCTCAATGTGCCCCCCTACCCGCTACATTTAGCCCGCCAAAGCAGGGCTAAATGTAGAAAACAACTGCCCCCCCGGCACTGCATGCCCCGGGCGTCGGAAGATAGGAATTCCACACCCCTGCTGCTCCGAGGCCGGGCCTTGGTTGGCCTTGTGGGAAATCCGGCCCTGCTCGTGACTTGTCTCACAGAGAATATGGCTCCAGATAAGGACTTCAGTTGCTAGGTTGCTAGTCCTCTAGGAGCCCTACTTTGTCTCCTGACCTTGATGGTGGACACTTGTCTAGTAATGGTTTCCCTGATCTCCATATTGTTG